AAATCTCCCCTTTGATCTGGGTAGGAAATGCTCGGCTCCTGCCCTGGCTGGAGCATCTCCCAATGGGATGATGGAATTTGATCAGCCCTGCCCTGGGACTGCATGGCCATGAACAAGAGAGATCTCCTGGAGGGAGGATGTGTCACTGGCTGGGTTTTTGGGGTCCCTTTGGGATCCCTGAGGCTGCTCCTGCAGCCCTCAGTGACGGAGCAAATTCCTGAGCCTTGCCCAGATGGAATTCTGGCTCTCAGTGAGCTCTCAGACCAGCGGGGAAAAGAAACCAGCACATGCAGAGAGGCACAAATCCATGGTTTATTCTATTCAGGCATCCTATCTACATATACCAACAGCTATTGTTTTACAGGTTTTTTAATATCTTTTGAGGGTTTTACAATTTGTACCAATTTCCAAGGGAATTCTACATTCTAACAATCCCTGAGGGATTTTACATTCAAAGCTGGCCTATGGATACTAAAAGAGGATGAACCACTGTTGGGGAAGATGAAAATGGAAAGCCTTATAAATATGATTACCTGGCAAAAGACTTTGATAAAATGGAAACTATAAGCAAGATCAAAATGAAAGCCATCTTTGAGATATCAAACTTTAGTTACTGAACGACTAGAAAATAATAGTATGGACCACTAATATTGAAGATAGATAATTGGGTCTACCAAGGCAGGGAACTGGATTCCTTTTTGTGTTTGTCATTTCACAGCCATTTCTTATCTCTAAGCTCTGTTTTCCAAGGGGCTTGTTCTGAGGATGCAGGGAGACTTTCTCCTTTATGAATGTTTTCTGCTCCCTCCACAAGGATGGGCTGTGGGAAAGATAAAGAACACTGTCCCAGCTGTTTTAACAGCTGGGGATGGGATACACAGCCCTGGTCACATTGCAAACCTAACCCCACTGCTTGTCCCTTCCACAGAGCAACGAGTGCCCCAAACCACGGCTGGAACGGGCAGAAAGGCTAAGGCAGGAACATTTCCCATGTCCCTCCCAAACCCCTTCATTTCCCCCTAAATTCCCCCCTAAAATTCTCCAATTCCCCCTAAATTCTCTGTCAACGCCACCCAAATCCCCTCTAAATTGCTCAAATCCCCCCTAAACTCCCCAAAATTTCTCAAATCCCCCTAACCCCCCAAATCCCTCCCACATCCCCCTAAATTCCCCAAAAATTCTCTACAACTCTCTTAATTCCCCTCTAAATCTCCCCATGCCTTCCAATCCCCCCCAGTCCTCCCCAAATCCCTCAAAGCCCCCTCAACCCTCCCAAAAGTTCACAAATCGTCCCAAACTTCCACAAATGTCCCCAACCCCCTGAAATCCCCCTGAGCCCCCCAATCCCCCCCAAAAATCACCTAAATCACCCCATGGGTTTTCTAATTTATTTTCTGGGCATAGATATTTATTTGTAGTTTTATATTTATGTATCTTTAGATAATAGAATAAATAGATCTATCAAAATGCATATTATAAATATTATATCATACATATTCTATGATAATACAATATAATGTTATATTATATTATATTATATTATATTATATTATATTATATTATATTATATTATATTATATTATATTATATTATATTNATTATATTATATTATATTATATTATATTATATTATATTATATTATATTATATTATATTATATTATATTATATTATATTATATTATATTATATTATTTTTTACTTATATTTATTTATATTTCTTTTATTTGGCATATTTTTGTTTTTATTTTTATAGAAAATATTACAACATACATATTCTATTTTATAATTATATTTATTTATTTATTATTTATTTTAATTGTATTTATTATTGGCATGTTTACATTTATTCCTATTGAGATAATATTGGATTGTATGTATCATATATATTATATTGTATTTGTTTTAACTTATTTTGATTTTTATTTATTAAAATTATTATAAATATTCTATCTATTTTATAATTATATTATATATTTTTTTATTCCTATTTTTAAATTTTTATTTATTATTGGCATGTTTATATTTATCTGCTGTATTGGATTCATTCCCAGTGGCTGCCCCACCCTCCAGCCCAGCTTTCCTTGAGGAGCAGCTCACACAGGGCTGGGAATTCTGCTCTGGGGACAAGGACAGTGGGCCCAGCCTGTCCTGCTGGGAGATGCTCTGATGGCCTCTCCAGGGAAAAATTCCAGGGAAGAATTCCATGGAATTCTGCTAGGAAGGAGTCACAGACAAAGCACCACAAAGCACCCAAAATCATATCCAAAATTCCCTGAAAAGCCAAGGCTGTGTCCCCGTGAGCACAGTGACCTCCTAAAACTTGGAGTCCCTAAAGGGGACACTGGGGTGGCACTGCCAGGCCCTGTTCCAAATCCATGCCCAGAATTCCATGAAAAGATCTCCAAAAACTCAAGGTCCCCAAAGGGGACACTGGGGTGGCACTGCCAGCTCTTCAGTGGCCTCCAGCATCAAATCCATGTTCAGAATTCCATGAAATTCCAAAAATGGAATACCAAAATTTCTAAAACTCAGAATCCCCAGAGGGGACACAGGGTGGCACTGCCAAGCCCTCAGTGGCCTCCAGCACCAAATCCACATCCAGAATTCCAAGAAAAGACCTCCAAAAACTTGGAGTCCCTAAAGGGGACACTTGAGTGGCACTGCCAGGCCCTCAATGGCCTCCAGCACCAAATCCATGTTCAGAATTCCATGGAAACTTGGAGTCCCTAAGGGGCACCCTGGGGTGGCAGTGCCAGGCCCTCAGTGGCCTCCAGAACCAAATCCATGTTCAGAATTCCATGAAATTCCAAAAATGGAATACCAAAATTCCAAATAATTAAGAGTCCCCAGAGGGGACACAGGGTGGCACTGCCAGGCCCTCAGTGGCCTCCAGCACCAAATTCACATCCAGAATTCCATGAAAAGACCTCTTAAAATTCAGAATCCCTAAAGGGGACACTGGAGTGGCACTGCCAGGCCCTCAATGGCCTCCAGCCCAGCCCATCCTGGGCCATGTTCTGGGTTTGTTTCCCAGATCCTGGGCCATGTTCTGTGTTGGTTTCCCCCAGAGCTCAGTTTGGGTGCAGGGCACTCCAGCTCACAAGGAGAGCTCTGTGTGTCACCAGGGGACAGGGGCAGGGCACAGGGAAGGAGCATTTGCCACGCAGAGACAGATCATAAACCAGCTCTTGAGATCTGCAGGAAATTCTTCATCCTCCGGCCCCTCCTTCCACAAACCAGCTTGGAGGGGAGGCAGCCCCTAAAGAAAACACATTTCATGTGGGGAAGGCAAGGCCAAGCCTGTTGTAAAGGACAGATGCTCAAAATGATCTATTTTTAAAAAGAAGCCTTATTTTAAACCCTATTTATCGTGGGGGGACACAGCCCTTAAAGAAAACACATTTCATGTGGGGAAGGCAAAGCCAAGCCTGTGTTTGCATCTGGGTTGTAAAGGAAAGATGCTAGAAATGATCTATTTTTAAAAATAAACTTAATTTTTAGCCTATTTCTCGTGGGTGGATGTGGTGCCCTCAGTCCTCACCTGCAGCTTTGTGCTTTCCCTGCTGGTGAAGGGATTTCACTTTGCTGCTCTACCAAGTTCCCATCAGGGAATATTTGCACCTGGATTGTATTTACAGAGCATCCAGGTGGAATCTCTGCATTTAATTCTGCAAAAACAACCAGGAAACCCCTCTGCTGGAGCACTGCAGGGATGCTGTGCTGGGAACACTCCTGGAGGCATCAAACAGCAACTTCCAGGAGCATTTTTGGGATGTGACACCCACAAGAGCTCGTTTGAGTGTTTGCCTAATTCTCATTTTATTTCCCTGCATTTCTCTCCTGGAGAGGTGTCCCCTGCTGGGACACATCCAACCTGTGTCAGAAAAGCCCAACATTCAGAACAATCCACTCCACAGGGGTCTAAAGAGGGAATTTCTGTCCCATGGGGTGGGGAAAGAGGACAAGAGAATTAAAAATGGGGCTTTTAATGAGAATGGTAAAAATTCTCTGTCAAAGAGCACAATTGGGTGAGTTCAAGCAGGGGGGACACCCCGATGTCCTGCACAGTGACAAAGCCACCACACTCAGATCCCACTGGTTTCATTTTCCAGGAGATGAGGACACAAATCACATCCCCAGGAGCTGGGACCAGAGCTGCAGATCCCTCAGGCAACACTGATGCCTTAGGATTTCAGCTTTTATATTTTCCATATATTTGTAATGCTGCAGTTCTTTAGTGTGTAACTCCAAACTCCAGATCCAGTGTGAGCTGCTGCTCTCCCATTTTGGGCAGACACAACAATTCCTCTCCAGGCTGGCAATCAAGGAGCCCTCACTGCCTCAGGCCTGAGAGATGGAAACAAAAGTGATTGGGGGAGCAAACTTGGGGTAAATGACTTCATTACCTGGAGCTGGAATTGGAAGATTAACCCCCAATATGCAAATGAACCAAATGAACTTATAAAAGTGTGAAAATCTGTGACCCGTGGTTCATTTTGGGTGCAGCCCCTGGGGGGTTTTATCTGCCCTAAATGTACCTGAAGGCCCTTCAATAAATATAACACTTTTTATTCCCTTAATTTGGTCTGCCCTGTGTTTTTAGGATGCCCCAAAAAGGCATCGGCACCCTCTGCCCTCCTCCTCCTCCTCCTCGCAGAGCCCGGGGCTGCTCCAGCATCACTTCCAGGAGCACTTCCAGGGAACGGTGCCTTTGCTGGCAGGTCCAGAGGGAGGAATTTGGATGCTCTGCTGCAAAAACAGCAGGGTGAGTTTGAGGTGAAATTCCTGGGCCCTGCTTTTGCTCCCGAGGATTTTTGTAGGGCAAAGCCACGTCGTGCTCCTGCTCCTCCTCTGCTGACTCCCCGTGCTGGACACCTGAGCAGCGCTGGGGCTGCGCTTTCCCAGCTGGATGTGTTCTAAAAGCCCCCCAGTTCTGCTTTTCTTTGTGATTGAGAAACCCAAAGGCCTCATGTGACTTTGTAGATGACTTCACACATTCAGAGAGCAGGAAGGAAGCCGAGCTGCTCTCACTTCGCTTTCCGTGGCCCGGCTGCAAATTCGGCCTCATTAACTCAGGAGTGCTCAGAGGGACCCGAAAATGACCCCCCAAGCCCCCCCTGAGCCCCCCAAATGCTGCTGCTTCAACATCAAGACAGCAACAGTGGCCCTGGGGATCTTCCACATGGTGAGTCCTGGGCCTGGAAGGGGGACAGGGACAGGGAGACAGGAAACCAGAGGTGGAACCTTTCCAGGAGGTGCTCTGTTGTGGTTCACAGGGTTCCCTGACCCTGGAAAGTTCTCTGCCCCCAAGAGGAAAACCCAATGAGTGAAGAGGGATGAACAAAAGCTGGTGGGAGACAGGGAGAAGCAGAATTTGCTCTACTGGGAGGGGTTTTGAGTGATTTTTTTCCTGGCTCTGCCAATTGGAGCGCAGGGAAAGTCGCTCTGCTTCCCGTTTTCCTGCTCGGTGCAGGAGCTCGTTACCCGAGTGTATCCCACACCTGCCGGGTGGGGATGGGCAGCACTGGCACTGGGATGTGGGAATGGGGCACTGCAGGGGTTTGGGAGCTGCAGGAGCACAGGGTGAAGGGCAGAGCTGCCTCTTCTGTGTCCCTTTCAGTTTCCATTGGGATCATGGCCGTGTCCAGCTCCCAGGCAGCCAGAGAAGCTGTTTGGGGCAGGGATGGCAGAGCAAGAGAGCCTGGAGAAGCCTCTCTCCCACGCTCCTGGCTGCACTGAGGAGCTTTAGGTGTGTTCAGCTGTCCTGAGGATGTGGTTTCTTGCATGGCTGGGTTATTAAAATAATCCCTGTGCTGCTCTGGGTTTGCACAGTCAGAGTTTTGTGCCCTCAGGGGGATAACAGGGCTCTCACAGGTTCCTTGGACAGCAGAGGGGGAGCTGGGGACCTGCAGCCTGCAGAAATCCCAGGGGATCAGCAGCTGAGGCATGGGAAGGACATTGCATGGTCCCCCCACAGCTCTGGGGGTGCACAGAGAAGGTTTGGTGCCCTCAGGGTGATAACAGGGCTCCGACATGGTAGTTGGACAGCAGAGGGGGAGCTGGGGACCTGCAGCCTGCAGAAATCCCATGGCACCAGTAACTGCAGCATGGGAAGAACATTCCAAGGTCCCCCCTCTTCCCTGGAGCAGCAGGAGCTGCACCATCCCTTTTGCCCTTGGAAAAGGGGGTAATTTTTGGATAGGTCTTGTCTTACTTCTTTAAGAGATAGCACACAATACCAGCCAGGCATTTTCCCCCTGTCTCTTCTCTCCCTTTCTGATGGTGCAGCTGTAGCTGGGCAGGGGGATGAAAAGGGAAAAGGGATTTATAATATCCTTGGCTGATTTGCTCCATCAATGCTGGGGGGTTTGGATCAGGATAAATTCCTGCTGCTGGTGCCAGGGATGAATCCCAGCTGTGCTGGGTGAGAGCAGTGCCATCAAAGAGCTCCCAGGCTCTGTGGCAAGGTCTTCTCCTCCCATAAATCAGCTCTGCCTCGCTGCTGATCCCTTCAGAGACAGCTGGAATAAATCCTGGGCATTCTGGAACAGACGGGGAAGGAGAGGGAGGGGAATGAGGAGAGGATGGGGGGGGTGATAGCACAGCTCCATTGGGTGCAGAGGTGACCTGCAGGTGACTTTCAGAGACAGCTCTGGGGAGTTTGTCCTGCTCATCAGCTCCTCCAGCCATGAACAGGCCCCGAGGTGTTTGACAGAGAGATTCAGGATCAGGGCTGGACACTTGCTCCTGTGCAGGCACAGAATTCCTCTCCTGCTGCTGCTTGATTGGAGCCAGAGGAGCCTTGGGAAGCAGTGTCTGCACCTTGTCTGGCCTCAGCTGCACCCCAGCTCCCCTCTTTGGCAGCTCTGCAGCTCACAGAGCAGAAATTCACCTCTGGAACCCTGCCAGGTCCTGTCCTCACCTCTGGACATGACTCAAGGGAGCCCAGAGTTGGATTCACTGAGCTCTCACCAGGCTGGGGCTGACCCAAGGGTCCCACAGAGCCTGAGATGCTTCTCCTGGAACAGCACAAACAAGGAGACAGCAGGAGAACATGAAATGTTGTGAAAGGAAACCAAATGAGAACTCAAAACACTCGTCACTTCATCCTCAGCTGCCACAAGAGTCACTTGGTAATTCAAGAGAGAAAAGGAGAAGCTCTGACAGGGCAGTGTCTTTGTGCTGGGTGTCCCCTGCTTGTGTCAGAACCCCCCGGAGCCCCCTGTCCCTGTCCCCAGTGCCCCCTGCTCCCCATGGCTCCAGGCTCTCCTTGCACAAACCCCTGCTGGGAAGCAGAAGAGGAGCACCCTCACACCAGGGCCACGTGCATGGAGATAAATCACCTGGAGATCAGTCAAGCTGCAAATATTTCAGAAAATAAAGGTGCAACATGACCTCTAAGAGCAGTTTAACCCCACTGCAGCAGGGTTATCCCCAGGCAATGGGGGCTCTGTGTGTCAGATTCTGTCTTCAAGACAATTTATCTGCCTTGATTTAATGACTGGATTTATCTCAGTCCTATATTATTTCAGGAATCGTGGGATCACAGAATGTCCCGAGTTGGAAGAGACCCCCCAAGGATCCTCAAGTTTCACTGCTGGCCCTGCCCAGACCCCCCCAGCAATCCCCCCTGTCCATCCCTCGGGGCCGTGCCCATTCCCTGGGGAGCCTGGGCAGTGCCCAGCACCTTCTGGCTGAGGGAAGAACCTTTCCCTCATCTCCAGCCTGAGCCTGCCCTGGCCCAGCTCCAGCTGTTCATTTCCTGGGGATTCAAATTTCTTCCACAAGATATGTGAAGCTCCTTTCACAGACAGGCAGCAACAAGATGAGGGGACTGCTCCAAAAGCTCCAGCTGTAGGAGATGAGGGAGGAAGGGCTGGAAAGGGGCTGGGATTTGAGTACCTGGAAGTGAAATCCTCTGTTTTAAACCTGCCTTTCTCCTGCTGTGGCATTGCAAAGGGAAAGGGAACGGGGTGTTTTTCTGCCTGAAATGAGAAGTTTTTGGTTTCTGCTGGAGCTGAGGGGTGGATCTGCAGTGGGAGTAGCTGAGCAAGGAGTGCAGGGCAGGCACCACATCCATCTTCCTCTACCCTCTTCCCAAAGGATCCTCTGCAGAGGGTTCCTCCCCTTGGATGTGCATTCCCTGCAGGAATAGGGGAGGCTCCACATTCCAGCGTGCCAAAGGCAGAGGCTGCAGGGGTGTCCTGGTGCTGGCCTGGCTCTCCCTGCCAAGGGAAAGGCCTGGAGGTCTCTGCCTGCTCCCAGTTCAGTGCTTCTTTCTTTCTACACAAAACAGAACATTTTAAAGCAACTTTTGTCTTCAAAGTCCCCTGAATCTCTCAGGCTGGGCTGGGGTTTCCTGCCATGTTCTTATCTTGTGTGACTGTACTAGGTCTGGGTTGTGTGGCTCATTTCCACACCAGCAAGGAAACCAGGGCCTTGTTCTTCTCTGACAGACATCAGAGAAGGTTCCTCACTCTGAACTCCAGCCTCTGGCTCTGCTGGATGGGATGGGGGAATTTGGGGGTTGCTGTCCTGCTCTTATCCACTCCTCTTTGAGAACAAAACTGATATTTAGGGCCCAGCTCATCCATTTTGCTCAGGCCTCCTTTTAAGTGAAACCTGACAAAGCAATTTCTGCCCATATTTCCCACACTGGCATTTGAGGGGTTGGACCAACAGCAGAAATAAAGGAAGCAAAACCTGTTTGGGAGCTTGAACACGAAACCTCTCAGCCACCTCGCAGTCAGGTGTGATCTCCATGTGTCTTCATTAAGCCATCCCTCCCCTCCCAAGGGGCACCAGCAGCTGTAAAGACACTTTGGATCAATGCAATTTCATCCTTGACAGGTTTCAGAGCTGCCGTGGGAGCTGAAATGCTGTTCCATTAAGCTGAACTCGTGTTAACTTTGTCGTGTCCTCGTGTAATGAGATCTGGATATTCCTCTTTTTCCTGCCAGCTCATGAGCAACTTGCAGAGTTCATTCACTTCATGGAAAAAAAGGGAAGACAGCAGAGTGACTCTTGAACAAGCTATCAGACAGGCTCAGGGAAAGCCTGACACATCCTTCCTTCTCATCTAGACTCTGGAGAGAATTTTAAATTCTGAGGGACAGGGTGGGACAGGGGCTCCCAGCCTGGCATGGCATGGTGGGTGCTCGTTCTGGGAATGCCCCAGCTCCTCTGGAAGCTGCAGCTCGGGGCTCAGAAAGTTGATGAATTTGTTTTCAGATTATTTCCAGGTCTTCTGCAGCCAACACCCAGGCAGAGGGAGGGGCTGTGCTCAGCTCCTGTCACCTCCCAGCCTCGCTTCCTCCTTTCTGGGGCAAGGCAGAGCCTTCCCTCCCACAGTTCCTTTGCAAGGGCAGCTCAGCACCCCTGGCTGGGCATCCCCGCTGGATCCCTGTCTGGATCCCTCTGAAAATACAGAAGCATTGTCTGGCCAGCCCCAGCCCGTGCAGCAGCTGGGTCTGTGCTGGTCCCAGCACCCCCAGTTTGCAAACACGAGCCCAGACCACAGCGGTGCCACTTCCTCCTCACCCACGTGGCTGCTCAGGGCCCTGGTTCAAGTGAAAGGTTGGTGCAGCTCTGGTGCAAAAGCTGTTTCAGCTCAGCCCGAGCTGGTGCTGATGTGGGCAGCAGATAAAGCCTGGCTTCTGCGTCACTGCGGGGCTCAGGGTCATGGGGCAGGGCAGCTGCAGGGACCCCAGGGTCACTGGTGCCACTCCCTGCTCCAGCAGGGCCATCCCAGAGCTCAGGGCACAGCAGTGTGTCCTGGTGGCTCTCGAGTGTCCCAGGGAGGAGACTCCAGCCCCTCTCTGGGCTCTGCCCAGGGCTGGAGTTGTGCCTCCTGTGCAGGGGCAGTTCCTGGGCTCAGCCCCTGCCCGTGGCTCTGGTGCCACTGCTGGGCCTGGAGCAGAGCCTGGGACTGCCCTGCCCCTCCCTGCACACAGGGACACACCCAGGAACGGACAGGGACACATGGGGACACACAGGAACACACAGGGACACATGGTGACTGAACCAGGGACACACAGGGACACATGGGGACACACCCAGGGATGGACAGAGCAGCTGTGGCTGCCCCTGGATCCCTGCCAGTGCCCAAGGCCAGGTTGGACAGGGCTGAGAGCACCTGGGACAGTGGAAGTGTCCCTGCCAGGGCAGGGCAGGGATGGGATGGGATGGGATGGGATGGGATGGGATGGGATGGGATGGGATGGGATGGGATGGGATGGGATGGGATGGGATGAGCTTTCCAATCCCTTCCAACCCATGGGCAAATCCCTTTGAATGTGGGCAATGGTTCCCATGTTTCCCATGGAGCAATATTCCCAAATATTCCTGTGGATGGGTTGGAGGCTGCTCTGCTCAGCTCAGCCCCCAGTGCAGGGTGCAAACCCCTTCCTGCAGAGCTTCCCCAGGATGGCAACAGGGAATAACCCAACAGGGAATAACCCAGCACATTCCATCCTTTCTGTGATTCCCTGATTCCATGGAGATCTCCTCATCCCTGGGTGAGTGCAGAAGTTCTGGGTCAGGACTGAGCCCACAGCTCTGCACCTCCCTCCACCCCCAGCTCATTAAACTCAGGACAGAATGAACCCTGCAGGCTGGGCTTTGGTGCTCCAGTTGGATAACCTGGGGAAAATCATTGAGGTTCAATGTGAAAAAAGAACATTTGGAGGTTTCCCTCAAATAATAAAAGAAGGAAAGTGATGGTTTTGTCAGTGGAGTGGCACAGCTACACTTACTGGGAGACCTTGAATCTTTTTTGTGGTTTTTTTTTATGCTTTGGAATACTGGTATTGCCTTTCCCTCAACTCTGGAGAAAAAGGTAATTTCAAAACATAAAACCAGGATAAAAACTATTGAAATAAAACTCACTGCCTTTGTCATTTCTCTATCCTCCTCCTGGCAGTTAAATCCAAAATATTAATAAACTGATAACTGTTGCCTCAGAATTTCCTGGGATTTAAACCCTTTTGTTTGTCACACCTGGGGACTCATCCATCCAGTGTTCCCTGGAAATAAATTCACTGCTGGGAATTTGGCCCAAAGCCCCTGAATTGTGTTTTTTCCTTTGTTCTCCAGGTCATGAGCATCCTGCTGCTGATCGAGTATTCCCTGGAGGTGGCCAACGGGAAGGGCTTCTGCAAAGACCTGAACACTTCTGATTACTTCAGAATTGGTGGGTCCTGGGAATGCTGGGAAGCAGCTGTGGGGAAGGGAGGGATCTCTCAGTCCTGCATTGCTCCCTCTGCCTTTTTCATCAAAGAATTTGGGATTCTGAGTGGATGCAGAATCAGGAAGCTCAGGAAGGAATTTGGGCTCTGTTCGGGGTTTGCTTTAGGCCAAGGCTGTGTTGGAGATCAATGTGGAGCCCAGAGAAGTTTTTACTTCAGGGGATCAGCCCAAACTCTGCAGCACCTGCAGAATCCTTCAGCTCCCTCTGGCATCTCCTGTGGATTCCCCTGGCAATCCTGCTTTCCCTACCTCTCCCTTTTCCCCAGCTGTGGATCATTCCAGCCTCACACACACTCCTGACTTCCTTCACATTCTGGGCATTTCCAGGGAAACACTGAAGTGTCCAAGAACTCCTCAATGGACAGAGGGGACAAATCCCACCCCACAATGATCCCATGGATGTGTGGGCTGTGGGACACCACCAACACACCAACACCCCCCAAGCCATGGAACCATTCCCATAGAACCATTCCCATGGAACCATTCCCATAGAATCATTCCCATGGAACCATTCCCATGGAACCATTCCCACAGAGCCATTCCCATGGAACCATTCCCATAGAACCATTCCCATGGAACCAATCTCATAGAACCATTCCCATAGAACCATTCTCATAGAACCATTCCCACAGAGCCATTCCCATGGAGCCATTCCCATAGAGCCATTCCCATGGAACGATTCCCATAGAACCATTCCCATGGAGCCATTCCCAT